CAGCAATATGTCATATGTATGTGCAGATGTATGCTGCTTATAAATAAAAGATCCCCAGAGGGTGATTCAGTCAGCAATGTCTTTGGCTTTGATTTACTGAACACCCAGCTCACAGTCGCTCAAGCGAATAAAGGAAGACATTTGTCATGCAGTAAGTCAAAAGAAAGGAGGTTCTTACCCCAGTTTAGAAAACCAGCAGTGCAATCAAGATTTCTGCTTTTGATCCCCATGGCATTACCTAATGGTTTCCTGAAGGCAATTACAACTGGGGGATCATTTGAAGTAAGAGAAAGGGGCCAGGGTTGCCTTTTATAAAGGAAGCCCAGGCTTTCCCGGAGCTTCATGGTACACTCTTTTCATATTTCATTGTCCTGACTTTGAAAGGACCAACTTATTTTGCAAAGATGGCTCTGACAAAAGATTCTCTCCAGGTTGCATAATAAAGGAGGGCAAAGAAAAGGAGTGTTTGAAATGAATGTGTAGATAGCCAACCAACAGGTATAGGCTACAGAGATTGCTCTGTATCAGAGGCTCGGAGATTATACAGCTTACTAATTAATAGCATCCTTTGTCAGGTAGTAGAGATGGGATGTGGCACAAAGAAAAAACACTGGGCACATGTTTGTTTGTTTGTTTTTCAAGACAGAGCTTCTCTGTTTAACAGCCACGCTGTCCTGAAACTAGCTGTAGTCCAGGCTGACCTTGAACTCAGAGATCCACCTGCCTGTGCCTCCTGAGTTCTGGAATAAAAGACGTCTGGCTTTAGTTGGATGAGAGAAGGCAATGGGAGGAGGGGTACTGGAGTTTGAGTACTATCGGTGCATGATATGGTCTGAAATCATAAGGACTTTCTTTCTGTAGAACCTGGAGACGTTTGATGGGTTCAGGTTAATGGTTAAAAAACAGACAGCATCCAGCTTCCTGTCTCGGGACTGAATTCTCCTTTCCCTTTTGTGTACTTTGCTAGTGTGATCCCATGATCGTTAATTCCAGAGCTAAAATTATGCTAGGCTCTGGTGGAGAATAAACAGGGCAGAGTTAAGGAGGTGAAATTAGGAGGGTAAGAGCCATGCTAGTGTACATGCAGCTTGTGTTGTAGAAAATACAACCGAAAAATAGTGTGAGAAAAGATGGAACTGTTTATGGTTTGGTACGAGTTGGGTATCAACAACCCAGCCACGGGCCACGAGTACCATTTGAGTTGGGTATCAACAACCCAGCCATGGGCCATGAGTCCCATTTGAGTTGGGTTTTATTTGTCTGCTTATTTATGTATTTATTTTTGTTTATTTTGCAGTAGTGGGGATCCAACCCTGGCCCTTGCACTTGTTAGGCAAGTGTCTAAAATGGAGTCACACCTCTGCTCCAAGTACTGGGTTTTTGTGGTTCAAGGCTAGATCTGACCACTGTTCCACTCCTGGTACTGTTTTACAGAGCTATCGGACCCATATAGGCCTGTTGGGGGCAGATCATGTTTGTTCAGCATCCTCCTCTCTAGCCTTCACAGGTAGACACACATTTGCTGAAGCATGTCTTGTCTTTTGTCTTCTCTCCTGTGGTCAGCCTGTCAGAAGAAAGGACAATAGCTCTGGGGAACTGGCCTTGCTTATTTCTATTTAGAAAAAATAAAGCCCAAGGTAATTGAGCAGTATTCTAGAAGTGTTTCAAGTATGCGGAAATTCCTGAGATTTTTAGTTCTCTGAAGGAGCTAAATTGTAATCTCTTCTAGATTTCAACATGGAAGTGCTACTTTCCCCCACTGGGCTTCTTGCCAGATGACATATGTATACAGCCTTGTATCCCCCCCCTTTATTTACAGAGTTAGAGCTCATAAAACTTGCTGAGTTGGTTTAGGAGATGCTTTGATCTGTAAAATGCTTGCTGCACAAGTATGAAGGGTTAAACTCATATCCCCAGGTCCACTATAAAAAGCTGGGTGTGACCGTGCATGCCTGTGATCTCAGCCTAGGGGAGGCAGAGTCGGGAGAACCCCAGAGACTGGCTGACCAGTCAGTCTTGTGAAATTGGCGAGTTTCAGATTTAGTGAGAGAAATAAGGTAGGGAGAGAAAGATCTCTCGCTTCCACATATGTAAACACATGTACATATGCACACTTGCACCTACACACGTGTACACTCACATGCTCACATGTATCTATGTTGAGTAGATACATAGTTACTGTCCTTTTCTTATTGTTAATATAAATTAGGTTTAATATGCTCTAGACACAGAGGCAATGATGGTTTTGAATCTTGATTCTGAATTTTCCCAAACTATTTCCATTTGTCTGTCCTGGTCAGGGAACAGGGACTTGCTTGGTAAAAGTTTAGGAAACTTGGATTAAGTCCTTCGAGCTTGGGCCCTTTTCCTCCACAGGCCTGGACGCTGTTCTTACTCAGTCTGCGATCCAAACAGCTGTTCTGCTATTGCCCTGGGATTCTGCGCACTCAGTAACTACGAATTGACCAAAGTGGCGTACACAGGAAGAGCCTCATAGCTCAGTAACTAAGAGTCATAGACTCTAAGGAGTTCACAGACTTCCGCCTACATTAACTTGCATTATCTCTCCACCTCCCACTCATTTCTACCTTCTTGGATGATTCTAAGTCCCTTGAAAGAACACGAGTGTCTATTTTGACAAATACACCACACCTCCCTTTAGACATTTCGGTGCTCAGTTTCTGAAACCCCTGGAGAGTCGGATAAATAGTCCCAAAAGACAGGCTTTTCTTTAGGCTGTTTTCCCTGTCCTGTTTGTACACCCAGCCTAGGATGATAACGGCTGCGGAAGACCTAATACAAATGTCTGGAAACAGCAGCAGTCAAGTTAAGCCCAGCCCTTACCCTGCTAATGTGAACTAAACTGAAGAATAAGTTTCCAGTTGACTGACATGTTCTGGTTCTGGTTGGATGCTCTGGGCAGAAAAAAAACATTAGAACAAAAGAGGGAGCCGTGTGTGCTGGGTTCAGGGGTAAAGGAATGGGTTCTTTGGAGGAGTGAAGTCAAATCATTTCTGGAGTATAATGGCAAGGAGGCCATCAAAAAAGAGGACAAGGAGACCATGTCACACAGGAAGCTAGAATCAGGTGTGGGGCACACACCTAAGACAGCACTGGGGAGAGGAGGAAGTGAGACATTAGGGAAGAGGCAGTGCAACACACATTAAAATCTTCCCCGCCTCCATTTCTATAGAATATTAGAAGCAATTCAAATCAGCAATGAAAACAGGGGGCAGTATGCTTTGCTTCTACAGACCATTAGCATCCCATAATACTGCGTGTGTGCACATGTGTGTAGGATCATGTGTGTAACTGTGTGTAGATGTTGAACATTTTCTCACCCATGCCCACCATTAGTGCTCTGTTAGATGGACAGATTGGACTGGTTTGGGCATCCTCACTATCCCTCAAGTTCTCCGTACTGTCTAATAATTAGCATTTGGTTTATCTGCTTCTGGTTTTCACTAGTTATCCACAAGGACCAGTAAATGCCCTGGACATGGTCCCGGGTGTTTTTAAATACCATTGAGAACTGGAATATACCATACATGTTCCAGTGGCTCTATGTTTGTTATTCTCTCTATGAAAGAGAAAACTTAGGTATCTAAAGAGAAGTCTTGCAAAAGGGTGCTGAACTTGAGTGATGTGGATGGCCTTCCATGGATTCCTGGCACTTTTTATGTAACTCAGTAGTGTATTACTATGAGGATAGAAAAATGCTGAACAAGTGACAAGCACTCATGATTGATTTGGTGCTCCCCTTCCAACCCAAACAGATGTGTTTCTTTCCCTATCAGGCACAAGACCAAACGCCAATATGTTGTGGTAATCAGAGCACTGGGCTTGGCGATAGCTATCAGGATTACTGTTGATGGACCATTCACTCTAGGACAGGAATGTGGCTGAGGATGTTGTCTTTCCATTGACCTCTGAAGATGCTGAAGCCTGAAGACACTGGCCAACTTGTCAGTGTCACGGCACTAGTAAGACAAAGACCTCCAGTGGAACCCACAGTTTGGAACAAACTCCAAACCTGCCTTTGCCACTCACAGCTTTTCCATCTCCTTAGCTGAATGTTTTGTCACCCCTGCCCTCTATCTATTGATCTCTCAGATGGAAGAGTGTTTTATAATCTATTGAGTCAGCAGTTTAACCTGACTATTCCCTGGGAGGATTTTGTTTAGTTGGTGTCCCTTAAAGTAGACCTGATCGTGGTTCCGGTGAGGCTATACAGCAGACCTGCTTCAGACACTTGGGTATGGACGGAACCCACGAGCAACTTAGAACTCGCTGCAACTATTCTGAGCACCATATACTGAGTTGCATGTATGTACCATCCATCAAATCGCCATGGATTTTCCTTATATAAAGACCTTTTGCTGACATTCAGGTTTACGATGGCATACAGATACTGCTGGATGCGGTGCTGGAATATACTATGCTTGGCAATTCCCCAATCTCTTACCATAGTCTAATAATAACTGTGCCAAAAAACAGCAATAGGATTAATTTACCACTCCTTGAGTTCCATACAACCTTACTGGCTGCTATTGGTAACAGCTTTGCTTCTGAAGTGCTTTATAATACCACGTTGTAAAATTATACAGTTTTTCTAAGAATTCATTTTATACTCACTGGTCTAAAATTTGTAGATTATGCTTTCTTTTTTTCCTTTTCTCAAAAAATATTGGGATGCTTGCCCACCTTTTAGTTTTACATAATCTTCCTTATTCTTCATAATTACAACACACACACACTCAAAGCTAGTGGGAGAATATGCACAAAGGAGCAGGAGCACTGTGTCAGGCAAGCTCACAGTAAACCATGTGATTGACAACCCAGATAAGCAAAGAGGAGGGGAACCCGTGAAAGTGAAGGAAGCATTACCATCCCTCTCTGCATCAAGGATGGATCTTTCATTTGGCACAACTGTGTTCATCAGCTTCTATTTTTATAACACACCTGAGATAATCAGGTCATTCAGAAGACGCATGACTTACTTTGGTTCGTGGTTTTAATGCCTTCAGTTCCTGGTCAATTGTCCATGTTGAGTCTGGGCCTGAGGTGAGGCAGTGCACCGTAGAGGAAGTGTGTGGCAGGGTAAAACTGTTTACTTCATGGCCGGTTGATCAAAGAGAGGAAGAGGAAGTAGATAGGGTCCCATCATCCCCTTTGAAAGCATTCCAACAACGGCTAAAAGACTTCTCACTAGGCTGTGTCTCAAGAATTTTCCTCATTTCCCAAAAGTACCCAGATAAAGACTAATCCTTTAATTCAAGGCCCTTTAGGGGAACAGTCCAGATGGAAAACATAGCAGAGTGTCACCACACTTCAGGGTCAGGACTGGGGAGACCCAAGGAAGGCCTTTACAACAGGTGAAAACTGCGGAGATGCCCACACTGTGATCAAATGTGAGAGTGTGTGTAATGTATACATAGACATAGTGCGGAAGATTAGATGCAAAAGTCGGAAGGTTATCTAGAGGTGTATCAGCATACTATGGTTTTGTGTGGTCTGTCTTTCAGTGACAGCTCTCCTGAACTGCATTTTACAAAGTATACAATGTGCCCATTTTGAAATATACAGCCCAGAGGTTTTCATTTATCAGCACAATCACAGAGTTGTACACCATTTCCAGACTGTTTCACACCCCAGAATAAGTCCTGTGCACTTTCACAATTTCTCGATATTCCCCCATCTTGACAACCTTGGGCAATCATCAGTCTGCATTGTCTTGATGGATTTGCTTTCCTCTACTATCTTTTAGGAATGGAATCATATAATGTATGGTTTTTGTGTGCTTACTCCTCACAGTATTTTTTAAAGCTCACCTATATTCAAGCATACAAATCAGCGATTTATTTCTTTCAAGACTGAATGATACCCCTCTGTGCATATGGACCTCATTTGATAATTACCTAGTTATCAGTTGATACACATTTGAGCTCTTTCTGTCTTTTGTCTGTTATGAATAATACCAGCATGAATACAAGTTTCCTTATGGATATAAGCTTTCATTTTTTCATTTTCATGGTCGTATGATAACAGTTTGAAGTCTTTGTGGGGAACCGTTAGACTATCTTCCCAAGTGACTATCTTATTTATGTACAGGGATTGCAAATTCTCTCCATCCCCGTCAATGCTATTTTTATATTAGTTTTTTCCCCCTGCTTTGCTTAAGAAGCAACTTAAGGAAAGAAAGCTTTGTTTTGGTTCCTGGTTTAAGCAGGGATAGCGTCTGTCATGGTGGAGGGAAGCAGGAGCCTAAGGCAGTGGTTACAAGACTTCCTCTGCCAGGAAGCAGAGAGGGGTGGAAGCTAGTGCTGAGCCAGCTTGCTCCTTTTCTCTTTTTCATTCCAACTGTGGTCCCACTCTGTGGGGTCAGGATGAGTCTACTTTCCTCAGTTAAACCTCTCTAGGAACAGTCTTGTAGAAATGCCCAGAGAAATGTCTCCAAGGTAACTCTAAATCAGATCGAATTGTCAATGAAGATTAGCCAACCCAGCTACCACCTGCTTTTTGTAGTACGGGCACCCTGGAGGGTGTGCAGTGCATCTCCCTGAGGATTTGATTTCCGTTTCCCAATGGCTAAGGATGCTCACTATCTTTCCATGTGTTTATTGGCCATCCGCCTTCTTTGGAGAAATTCCTATTCAGGTCCTCTGTGTACTTTCATTACTTTTGTCTTTTTATTGTGTAGTTCTAGGAGATGTGTAGTGTGATGTTTTACTCTTTACTCTTTTGGCTTTGGGGGAGGGGCTGCCACCCAGCTCCCAAGTAAACACACATGAAGGCTTATTCTTAGTTATGAATGTCCAGCCTTACCTTGGCTTGCTTCTTGTCATCTTTTCATAACTTAACCCGACTACTTTTTGCCTCTGGGCTTTTGCCTTTCTCTATTTCTGTATATTTTCTTTCATTCTTTCTCTGTGGCTTGCTGTGCAGTTGGACGGCTGACCCCTAATGTCCTCCTCCCCTAGTTCTCTTGTCCCTCCTCTTCTTCATTTCTCCTTCTATTTATCCTCTCTGCCTGCCGCCCCGCCTATCCTTGCTCCTGCCTCACTATTGGCCTTTCAGCTCTTTATTAGGCCTTCAGGTGTTTTAGATAGGCAAAGAATCACAGCCTCACAGAGTTAAACAAACGCAACATAAACAAACACAACATACCTTAAAATAGTATTCTACAAAAAAGATGTTCTTTTGTTATTCTTTTATTTTTCTTTGTTGTTACTGGTGACTCAAGCAAGATTTGGAAAGTGACTCTAGTAGAGTTCTTTCTTGTAGTTGACCCAAAGAATTATAATTTTACAAGCCAAAGATGTCTCAGGCATCTCCAAGGACTTTGTCATTCATTTGTAGACTGATTTTTGAAGTGTTTGAACTTGGAAACGGATAGTAGCCTTACCTGTTGTGGTTGGCTTCAGGTGATAGAATTCCTCTTTGGACACATCAACCAGCTCTGCTTTTGGCCCACTCTTTTGCCCTTCATTCCTTGTTATTCTGATCTGAGATTCTTTTAGGAGGTGACTCTTGCTCATTGTTTACTCTCCTAGCTGCTTATATGTTCTGGTACTTTCTGGTGCCTCTTACCTGCCTGCCCACTCCAGTCTCTCTGGGCTCCGTGACTAACATCAGTGTGAGTCCCACGTGGTCTTTTAAGGTGTCACGGTAATGGCGGGGCTCTTGTTTTCCTCCTGTGCCTGTCTCTTTCTCCTGCCTGCCTTTCTTAAGGCAAATTCATGAATGTTTCGCAATGCTTCTTCTTTTTATTTTTTTCCTCCTCCTCTGATAGAACCTCTGAGGTTTCCATGGGAGCTCTTGATCCCCAGGTAGGGGATTCTTGAGTAGACGTGAGGTGAGCAAGCTTTGCTCGTTCTTGTGGGACTCTAAGAGTATAGCATTCATTCTTCTTCCTGCTCTCTTTTCAGTCCTTCCAAGGCAGTTCTTGATCAGTGTCTGGAAGGCCAAAGTCTTGTGTCTTGGAACTGAACAGATGGTGGTGACAATGGCCCCAAGAGCTGAAGCATTATGAAGAGACTGCTGTTGGCTATGATGTCTGGTGGCTTCATGAAACCTCAAATCTGCTGTGTTTCATAGGAAAAGGGCAGTTCTCAAGGCCTGGCCATGTTTTTCTTTTGGTTATGAGGCAGGTTATGGTTAAAAGAGTTGCATCCACAGTAATCATCATGGTTTTCACTTCCTGGACTGAGATGGAAAGTCCTGGAAACCATCTCAGCTGCATTTTGCCTCTTGGTGGAACTGAATTTAATCCAGTGCTTTAGTGATGCCAGATGCCTTTCTCCTACACTGGCATAGTGAACAAAACCAGTCTCAGATTCTCAAGAGACATGTGGGTCTTTGGAGATGAGCCCGGATTCATCATACCTGGAACCGTGATAGGAATTAAATCCTGTATCAGTTACTTTTTTCATGGCTGTGGCCAAATACCTGACAGGAAGCAACTTAAAGAAGGAAGGAATAAAGGGAAGGGAAGGGAGAAAGGGAGGGAGGGAAGAAAGAAGGCAGGTGGGTTTACTTGGCCTTACAGTTTGAGGGATATAGTTCATCCTTGTGGGGAAAGGCATGGTACTAAGAGCACGAGGCAGCTGCTCATATTGTGTCTATAGCAAGGAATGAGGAAGAGGTGAAGGCTGGCGCTCCTTTACTCTCTTTTTTTGATTCAGTGTGTGACCCCAGCCCTGGCATGTTTCCTCCCACATGCAGGATGGGTCTTCCTTCTTCAGGTAAACATTTCTGTAAACCCACATGAACACATCTGGTGTGTTTTCGTGTGTGTCCAAACCCAGTTGAGATGATAGCAAGGATTCACAATCAAAGTACAATATTACAGGGTTTTTTGGTCTTTTCTTTCGGAAATGTGATATATTTTGAGTGAAGGCCATTGGGAAAATCGTTTTAGTGTCCAGAGACCTTCAAAGCCTAGAATAAATCTGGGGATGGGTTTGTGAGCCAGGCTCTTGATAGGGAGGTCCCTCAAAGACTGTAACTAGAAAATAAGTGCAGTGCTTCATCTAAAATTTCTGATTGACCCAGAAACTCAGGACTAAACTGTGACTAGATCTAAGGTCCAGGGTAGGGAAAATGTGACCTCTGATTCTGAAGTAGATTTGATCTGGCTTTAAATAGAGACTTACATTCCTGAGATTTCAGGCCATTCTTTGTCACACTCTGGGCCCACCCAAGGGGGTGGGGGCAAAACTGAGAATCTTGAATGCCAGATCCTTGTATAGTTGGCAGGCTTCATGAATGCACATTAAAATTTTTAAAAAGTCAGCTTGTTCAGACTGGAATGGAACATTGTAACCTAGAGGTTCTAACGTGGTATGAGGGGGTCTCGTGAGGGCTGTAATGACACAGCAAAGACACTAAGAAATGAGAGTTCTACGTGTGTACCAGACATACCAAAAAAGCCACCATATCTTCTCTCTCTCTCTCTCTCTCTCTCTCTCTCTCTCTCTCTCTCTGCTCTGTGTGTGTGTGTTATCAAACAAACAAACAAATAAAAAACCCCTTATACAAAACAAAGAATCTTCTGCATTTTTGTGAATTTCTTATGCTAAAAATGAAGTGAATGAGGGCCAGATAAAAGGAAAGACTAAGTGGCCATGGAGCTGAAGATACTGGGCTAGAACTGGAGGCTTTTGGAGGGATAAATATTGGTACCAGCTCCCATTGCCCTGCTCCCACAGAGTGGGTGGTATTATCTCTGGGCAGAGGAGGCGTCTTCTGCCCACTGTCCTGAGCTGCTAATTAGAGCATGAGGAAGGCACTACACATGAAAAGTAAAACTTAGGTGATTTCACCTTCAAAAAATAAATGAAAAGCAGAGCGTATGGGGGACTGGGAAAGAGGAAAGGAGGGAGAAGAGGAGGCGGGGTTCAGAGGGCTTCATTTCTTCCACCATCCTTTTGAAAAGCAAATTAATATTTTAAATTAAATTAGGTCCCTATCTCAGTGTTTGGATCATAGCAGAAAGATTTGCTAGCCTCCCTTTCAAGACCAGAACTGGGAAGAGCTTTGAACTTGAACCTAATTGTAACTTCAGATCTGCTACACTCCTTTCTACTCT